TTCTTAATAGATCTCTTCCTGTTCCTCAATCTTCGGAGAATGCGGCGTTGTATTATTGTCAGTTCTCTGTTCCGAACATTTCCTGAAAGTAGACGACAAGTTTGAAATCTTAATGGGGACAAATCTATATCTCGTTGAATCAGTTTTTTAAGCAGCCACATTGCGTCCCTGGGACTCGAACCCAATTCTGCAACAACCCCTGTTCCTGTCCTTTCTTTGTTTTGTTGATCTATTCCTCTTCACGTTGTCTTTTTAAAAAAAGACTGAAAGTATGGGCTATTGACACCATGGTCAGAAAGAGATTTGAGGACTTTTCTAAGTCCCGCTTCTACGATAAAGTCTTTCCGGTTTTAATAAAGCGAGCGCCACTCTGAATCCACGATCCGTAAGGATCTAGCTCCGCCACATTTTGAGTAGCACTTCTTTATTTTTTGAAAAGGCCACAAAACTCTTTTCAAAAAATAAATCTACAGTTTTTGGTGGTTCATTTTTTTGTGAAAGAAAGAGGCGGAAAGCTATGTCCTGTACAGTTTCTCCTCCCACCTGAGGGCGAAGTCATGACTCGACCTTTAGTTTTGTGACTCGAGTACTTGTTGCGAGAGGTACTTTAGTAACTCGACTAAAAGGAGAGGTTGTTTACATACTTGAGCTTTCTGCGAGAGGGATTTATTACTCGACTAAAAGGAGAGAGAGCAAGGTGAACTCTTCCCATTGCTAACATTCCAGGGATTCCAGAACCAACTAATCTAATCTCCTAACCTGGGATTCCTTAACCAACTACCAATTAAAAGAGTAAAACACTTCCTTTGGATAAACTGATTCAAACAGATAGGCAGATTGAAATGGAACTTTCTACAAACAAAAACTCCTTACCTTACTTGGCTTACCTCTCCTATTCCTCTAATCCCTAACCAAAACAAACCTAATCTCATCACCTCATTGCTAATATTGCTGGGATTCCCTCCTAACCAACTAATCTCCTTACCTCCTATTCCTGGGATTACTGGGATTACTGGTTCTCCCATTCCTAACATTCCTAGGAATTCGCAAGACACCATAGGCAACATGGGAATCCTTGATCTACTTGTTTCTCAGATTCCCTTTGAGGTTAGGAGAGTGAGTCGATTCGACGAGGCTAGCTTGTAGGTTAGCCTTTAGTTTCCGTCAAAGAATTGGATTTTCATACTTCCTTCCCCTTTGGTCGATTCAAGTGGACTTTATCCTAGATTTGTCGATTTCTCCCTGGTTGAGGACCTTTGGATGCCAGTTTTCTAGATGCCAGTTTTCTATAAGAAGGGTCAGCCTTAAAGGAAAAAAACCAATCCCAAGGTAAGGTCTAAACTGATCTAATCGGTAAAGCCGGAAAAAGAGCTGAGTTTAACGGCGAGAAGCTACTTTCAAAGGAAGGAGTGACAGAAAAGGTCGGGACAGTGGCTGCTACCGCATTGACTTCGGAAGATTTGGATGTGTTAAGGCTAACCTCCCAAAACTCACTAAATTTACGTTGCTTCACAAGGTAATTCCTATTTGCTTACTTGTTAGAGTAAGAAAAGGAGAAGAGCTTCAAGGTAGAACCTATGAACGTAGATCGCATATAATGTGTCGATCTCATCACCTTACCAACCAGGGCCTATGTATACGAAACTGGTGCACCATCTGCAATCGCTATATATACCTGACCTAGCTTCTCGTGTATCACCCTTTCTTTCTTCCTTTCCTAACTATCACTGACCGCGGGGGAAATGCTGACAGAATGCCAATACTTGTTCGATCGAAATTCTAACAGTTGTTCCGGGCGTTTAATGTTTGTTCTGGTTCAAGCTAGAAAACGGTCAAGTGTGTTTCTAATCAGGGTTATCTAAATTGGAATAAGTACTTTTTGATAACTTTGTCTCATGCGGAGCAAAGCCCTTCTTAGTCAAGCTTAGTCCCTTTGGAGTATATTTAAAGGGAAGTGCGGATCTGGAGTGTTTTGTTTAGACGAGCTATGCAGCAAGCTGAGTTCTATCGAAACAACGTTTTCCGGGCATACGAGAAAAGAGTCCAGCCCAGCATATTTATTTGCGACTTTCTTGATCCCGGAAATCTTGTACTCAGAGTCACGGATAAAGATAAAGTGGACTACCCTGTATGACCTACAGTTCTTTTTAGTGGCTTTTTCTTGTCCTGGACCATTCAGCCCTTTCTCAACCAAGTATAGGTAGAAGCCCTCTTTTCCATACAGATAAAGGTTCGACTTCCAAGAGAAAAGATAAGGAAGTCGGTATTGATCGTGGAAATATCTTAGAAAGTCTTCAAAATCGCTTCTCTTCCTTCATTCTCAGTAGGCTACCGTCCTCGGAACCAATGCCTAAGATTTGCCCTTGCGGTCTGCCCTTAGTCTAAAGACTTCTATCCACTACGATGGAATCTGTTTAGTGGAGAGAAGGCCTAGTTAATCTAGCACTATGGTGGAATCTAAGTGTAAGATATTGTTCCGCGGTTGGAAAACTAGCTCCTATGCGCCTGTAGGTAGGACGTTAGAAAAAGAATCCGAATTAGGCTTGCAGACCTACTATTAGGCTTTCAGTGTAGTAACCTAGATGCTGAATATAGACTCCCATCTATAGTAAAAGAGAAGAAAGTCAGGCGGACACTGGCAGCTGCAAGTCAGTCGGTTGGCTTCCGTCACTTCTATAAAACGCTGCCCAACAGACTGAAATGACTATCTTCGGGATATGATGCCAGAGTTGGTGCTTTTGCGGCATCTAGTTCAGTATCAGAGGCGCTGCGCTGCCCTTGGCTAAGAAGGTTTACTTCTCTGTCACTTCCGTACTTCTGTAACTTCTCTTTAGCTTATTAATGGAATTGGTTAGAAAGTCTTTCCGGCTAGAAGAGAGGGATTAGTACACCTCCAACACTGACTTCTTAGTCGAGTAGTTCTCTTTCTCCTGGGCTGAGACGTGACCTCTTCTCCTCGTTTTCATTGGGAGGGAAGATATAGATACAAAGGTAAGCACGAACGGAAGTATTCGAAAGAGCTATTTAGCTGAAAACTCTATAGCTAAATTACTCTATCATAGAAGCCATTACTGACTGAATCTGGGAGGGCAAAAGGCTTAGTAATAGTAAGCTTCTCAACCCTGGTAAGGGTTTACTTCGTCCCAGGCCGGGTCGTTGCTCGTTGCACGGTAGGCGGCTTTGAGGAAAGGTATGAAGTCACTCGCCCTTTAGCTTTAGAAAGCAGGAGAGGTGCTTTAGCAACTCGACTGAAAGGAGAGGGAGAGGGATTTGACTTTTTCTGTCAGGCCAATTTCTTTCTAGTGGTAAGTGCTTTCAGCCAGTTCTAGTCCTTTTCTTATACGCTTATTGGCGTTAGCACATTCCTCTTTCTTATTGGATGGAGTTGTTTTGCCACCTGGAGTTTTAATGGAAGTTTGAGTGCGTCCTAAAAGCCAATGCTTCTGCCTTTTGGAAGTGTCTGCCTATATCTGTCCTCCCCATTTAATCAGTCTCTGTCCTTACCTTCGACGGTAACCCCTTTATAGTACAGCAGTCCCGTTTCCGGCAGTGCCTTCCCCCCCCCTAGTCTAGACCGAGTATCAATAGTTGTAGTTCCTGTCCGTTATGGACCCTTCGTATCTTTCAAATCCAATCAATGTGTGGTGTGTATCCAAGGGCAAATGCAATCTCTGAATCTGTTACAGCCATTGTAGCACTAGGTGCCTACCCATAAGCAGTAGTTGCCCTTGAATGTGCATCAAATCCTAAGACAAGCCTATCTAATCTCACTTCTTAGTCTAAAGCACTCAAATCCCTTCTAAGGAGCCAGCCCTTTTTGAATCCCTCTCTTTTCTTCATGCTGTGAAGAAATTTTCCCTATCCCCCTGACTGGCGAGGCTTCTTCTAAACGAGTGGAGTTCAGTTAGACTGCCCCTTCTTTCTCGTGCTCTCCGTCCAAGCGAGCTAACTCCTGATCTCCTGTTGTAAAGATCTCCAGACCAAGGCTATTCTTACCAGTTGACATCCATCCCGTTGCATTCCCAGCGGTTTGAGTTCTATTGGATGGGGTTCTATACGAGCGTTCCATACCGTCTCTTGGGATCAAACTGAATTAAGTTGGACTCCCTTCAAGAGATAGATTTCTTTCCACGATAATATCTATATTTTCTTAAGAAAGAAGACTAGAATATCATTGGGAGTGCACTTAAGCCAATTGGAGTACTAGGCCTTCTGTTCCAGTGACAGTTATAGAAAAAAGCGAAGCCCTCCACTCATAAGTAATAAGTAATTTCATCCCTTACCAGTCCGTCCTACCAGCTCTTCTGTCTTCCTTTTTAAAAGGAGCTAACGATACGATGTTCAAGCTTTGCCAGAAGCCTTTTGCAGAGAGAAAGTTCGAAGATCAGGATCAGGATTGGATTGAAAATAAATCTCCTCAGCATTCAATTCAAGTGGGTCTATCGATACAAGTGGTAAGACCGATAATTCAGCATCCAAGACCTGGCCGATGTCTACTTCAAATTCAAGTGCCACTTATCTTAACACAACTCGGGCTAATCGACTCCCAGCCTATCCCGACCTGGTCCTTTCGAACCAGTCTTTATAAACCTGGTGAAAGCAATCAAGCAGGACTTACCTGCTGGGAGCCCCCTTCCTTCTATTCCGAAACCTAGAAGTTTTTTTTTCCAGCTCTTGAGCTGATTGAATTATTTTTGTTCACTGCTAAGCTAATCCTTCTGTCCTACTTTACTCTATTATGAGACCTCACCCTAGGCTAGGGAGCTGGTTTAAGCCATGCCCTTATTTGACTCCCAAGACCGGATACATAGCTCTTCTGAGCGGGTAAAATTCAAATACAATGAGTGCTTAGGGAAAGTAAGAAAGAAAGACATAAAGCGGAATCCGGTAATCCTACTGCTACTAAGACTACTCCGTCTTAGGGCTAGGAGTTCAAGCGCGGCGTAACGGGGGTTTGTCAGCGTAACAAGCTGGTGCTCTAATCTGAGCTGAGAAATAGGAACTGCACTTTTACTTTATTTATTTACTATATTCCCCCTCTCTAACCCAAGTCCTAGAAGTGAATGAGGAATGAAAGAACTTCTGCTTCCGCAATGAGACGCTAAAGTCCTTAAATCAAGGAAATCACAATGCTTCTCTTATTCAGTAGTTCAATCTTACTTTCTTACCCCGCCGGGGAAGCGTTGAATGAATGTGTAATGATGTCATCAGGGGAGATCTTGACCAATGGCCGCGCGATGTCCGAGTTCCTTCGAATGCTTTTTCCAAGCCCCTTCTTGCGCTTTACGAAATTCGTTGTTAAGGCCAGTCCTTCTCTCACCTTCACAGAAGAAAGAGATTCTTCTGTGAAGGTGAGGAAGGGAAGAGGAAGGAATTTGCTTTGGGTGTGGGTTAAGCTCTTCCTTATCTTAGGACGAATCAGCAGAGAAGGGCCTTCGCTTCGAACTCGGATGTTTAGGAAGAAAGCTGTCCACTTGAAGCTGAACCTTAGACTTCCTCTCGGGCTATCTATGAATTAGAAAGCTAACCCTTAGATCCGGGAAGAGGGAACTGGCAGTAAGGGTATTACACTTCAAGAAAAGTGGAACTCACTCGAATAGAGAGAGTCTAGGCTCACTCACAGACCCAGCTGTCTTTGCTTTGTTTCACAACGTCAGCCCGCAAGAACTCACCCTCGTGTGAAAGATAGCAAGATGTGGTTGATGGAAGTAGGTATGTGTCATAAGTTCAGGCACAGTGTCTTCTAGGAAGAAACTTTGTGTAAGGATCTTTTACAGTAAAGCAAGGTATTGATCAAAGTGACAGTGGTGAGGGTAACCTTGTGAAAAAAAAAATGGTTAGGTGTGCCCTTTCCTATGGTGTCTCTTCTGTGTTAGCTAGTATAAGTCTTAGTGCTTTTGTTTTAGTAAGGTCAATAGGAGTTAGCTGGTAGGGCAATCTCTCGTGCAATCAGAATAATCCTTGAACCTTCCACCCGGAGTTTCTTCTTTCTTCAAAGCTTTGGATTGAAAACCTTTGTTAGCCTTATAAAGTAGCCAATTTTCCAACTATAATTAGAATGAATGTGAAAGAAGATGAAAGAATCGTGTGATACTATAGCTAGCTACGATCCCCTACAAGAGGAATCGCTCTACTACCCCTTTGGCGGGCTTCGAGGACCCTACTGACTAATTCTTTATGCATGGATGCAGGAAGAGCCTACGAGTTCATTTGTAACAATATGAAAGAAGAACCTTGCGTGCCCGATCATGATATAGGTACAGCTTCCAGCCAGAGAAGGTGATTGTGCTAGAAAGATGGCAGTGAAGATCATGGATAAAGAGCTAGTCAAGCAGCATCCTGATGATATCCACGTACCAACTACTGGCACTGCTAGTGCTTTTGTGGATTAACCTACTTCCCAGGGCCGGCGGTCAGAGAAGAAAGATCTCTATGAAAGCAGGAGACGGAAATAGGCTCGCTCGATTCGATGGTTTAGAGTCCCGTATCATATGGCATGCTTTCCTTAGAATCCATAGACAAAGGGCGTACGGTACCCTACGAAATCGGCAGATGATTGCTTTGATTGGCCTGCTGTATCAGTTTATTCGACTACTTCCTCCATACCGTAGCGGACTTCCTTCCTAGATAGATGTAGGAGCAGCGGAAAGGGCTGCTTTAGAAGCTTCAATAGTTCCCTCATCAACGGATGGTTTAGCCGCCAGGTGATAGGGATGTCAAATAGAAGGCAAGCAGGCGTAGAAGGCCACGTTCGATAGCTGAAAAGTCAAGCTGCGGTTAGAGGGTGTAAACTAAATAGTTACAGCTGGGCTTGGCAATTATCTAGCCGAAGTGGAAGGTTAAACGGGATCAAATCCTGGTCATTCTATAGTTGCAGGATCGGTAAATGAAGCCGGAAAGAGTATCTAGAGATAAAAGTCCAGGCGTCGAAGCCAATTAAACCACTTGGACAAGATAGTGAAGGGTCTGGGGAGAAGTCAATTCTAGAGTTCATTACTCGGATGGGGACTACAGTAAAGAAATCTATTCTAGAGGGCTAAATGTCAACAAACTTTAGCGAGAGTACCAAGATCGGACTCAACTTCCTATTCCAAAGGCAACTTTACTAGCGTGGTTATGAATCAACTTACAATTCTTGAGTTACAGGAGGAACTGTTAATGAAAGACAACTATAGTAGTAATAGCTGTGAATTCCACTTCTGAGTTAGAGTTCAATCCTTTCCATCTGAAAGTACGTACTTCTTATAGCTTGAGAAGAGGAAGGATGCATTCGTCAGCATAGGAAGGCCCAATCAAATACCCCATCATAGTATAAGTTTTCCCTCTTGATTGACTTGAACAAAAGGAAAGAAAGAAATGCACAAACGAAACAGGAAACTACGAAGGTCTCAGGAGCAATATCAACTACCTAGACCGACCTGCTATAAGAATTCCATAAAGACCTTGCGAAGATACTGTACTGAATGACTGGATCGTACTAGATAGATAGTCTCAGATAGACTTGAATACGCAATTCCTGCCAATCTCGCACTTGACACGCAATAAACAGCAGTCTATCTTCACAGAGAAGGATGGCAAGGGGTGAAAGGCTTAGACCTTATCTGCTCTAGGCTAGTTTCATTCTATTCTTGTTCAGCATATTTAGTTTCAAAAGAGAGAGGTCCGGAGGCATTAATTAGTTGATGAGGAGAAAGGCCAGCCACGAAACACTCACCCAATCAACCTTCAAAGGCAAGTAAGGACTCTCTCAAACTGAAAATTGCTGTTCACATTGCAAGATCTGTCTCAAGATGTTTTGAAAATGAGAAACAGCAGCCAGAATAAATAGTATACTTTATCGAGAAAAGGGAGGAAGTATCTTCTTTCTCTGACGTAGACGGGCATTCCTATCGAGATTACTTCCTTAGGACGGGAGGTCGAAGAATCTATATGCTACCTTACTTTCAGGATGGCTTTACGAAAGATTCCATTTAGCTGAAGTAGGACGAAGCGGTATGAGATAAGAGGTCTCAACGAGCCTTCAGCATCTGAAACGGGAGCTTTAACCTGCATATCATACGGGAGTCTTAGTGGAGAGCGTTCTCTGGTTATCATCCCTAGTAAAATTTGAAGTGACGGAGGAACCCTATTCGATAAAGAAGGGAACGGTGCAAATAAAGCTATTTCGAGTCCTCTATCAACAACCAACCAACACCACCCGCTTGTCGGGCTTAAAGCGAAACTGAGCTTCTCACTAACAAAATCAATCGTAAGCTTCATGTCCGAGACTCGGAAAGAGTGGCGTTAAAGAGGGCGTCAGAGCCTCTCGAAGTCTCCGATCTCACAGATGGTTAGGCTGCAATTCCTTCGCTTGTGAAGAAGCTTGGATAGTTCTCCTTACTCGGACATTCTATTCATTCGACCACCGCCCATGCTTAAAGATTGAAGTTTTGTTTTGACTCTGTAAAAAAAAAGAACGTTGTAACGTCGGTTAACGCAGCCTCACAGGCAGCCTGAGAAGTTTTTGACCCCTTTACCTATCTTGGGTGAGCTACATCCATAATAGTCTAAGCCTCTGATTGACAGTACTAGATACGGAATCCTTAGTCCCAAGAGTTCTGCAGAAGCGGGCTAAAGGCAATAGTTCGCTAGGGTGGTTATCCCAATTCTTTGATAAGATCGCTACCGAACGCCCCCAAAAGCCTAGTCTTTTTAGAAGGAACGAACGGATTCTTTGTTGTTCGTGCACTGAAGAATCTATCTGAGAGGTAATACGGAAAGAAAAAAAACTCAACCCTGATGCTACTGGAATAGAGAAGCAAGCAAAGTGGGTCGGGCTGGCCTGGGACTCAATTGAAAAAAAAAGCGGTATTCTTCCGCGAAGACTAACTAACGGGGCGCACTCAATTTCTACCTTCCCCGAGCTTACCACCACCCGTGGTACAATAGAATGAAAACAGAGTAATGACCAAGGGAATTTTCTATTAACCAACGGGAGATCCTCCTTTTCTCGCTAATCTAGGTCTCAGGGTTCCCCAGCACAGACTTCTTGTTAGTTTTTAAACTAGTAAAATGGAGTGAAGCTATGCTGTTAAACAAGACAAACCAATCGCAGATGTACTATCATGCGAGGAAGGCCCCCCATTATTGTTGAAAAAGGACTATTCCCAACACGTCTTTCGTCTAATCGGGAGAAAAAAGGAAAAAGGCGTTATTGCTGTGCTTCCCTTCCCTTTACAGGCAAGCTTGAACTTCCCTTCGGGGAAAGGGAAAGACCTTTCAAACTCTTCCGTATAGGCCAGAAAACAGCTTGCTTAGAGAAAGACTGACTCTCCTACGGACCTGGTGGACCTTACAGTCGAGTTATTGCATCCCTCTCACAAACTATCAATTTCATAAGAGAAGAAAGATCGTTTTTAGAAAAGAAAGAACGTTTTGATTCGAGGCGGATCCCTTTTTTCTTTGCCTTACGAGTTGAAAAGAAAAGTGGTAACAGGTAGTAGCTCTGGTAGAGTGCAGGACTGTAAATCCTTCTGTGAGCGGTTCGAATCCGCAATCACTTATAGTTAGTTTCATCGATATTTTTTGGTGTTTGATGAGCCTGCGTAGTATTAGGTAGTTGGTTAGGTAAAGGTTTCGTAGCGTTGTTTCCTCGAGTGTTCCCCTTGTTGCTGTTGCTTCATTTAGAAAGATTGAAAGAGAATCAGAATTCCATTCCAGTGAAATGTGAAATGACATAAGAGAAGAAAATCGGATGTCAATCGGTCACCTCATTGCGGAATTGGCATCGAGAAGCCATGGCCCAATAGTGCCTCGCAATCATGATCAAGTGGCCTTGTGTACGATCCGCGTTGGCCGGTAAACCGGAAGTGTAAGATCTATTCCAAGAGGTTCTTTCTGACATCCAAGGTGGATAATAATATCTTGCGGTCAGTCTATGTATATATCTTCCTTTTCGCTCGCTAACAACAGAGGAACCACACTTGAATAGCAACTCCACCTCTGACTCTTAGTTATTCGATAGATCCAGCCCCCTATGCGGCACCTGCCTTTACCTTATAGCCTGGGTGAGCACCTGTTCTTGCATATGAGCGCTCGCTAGCATTCCTCTGTGCTATAGTTTTCGATATTGTACGATACTTTATCGAGATCCGTAGGCGAAAGCTAGTCTCCTAAACGAAGCTTTGGGAACTCTAGGATTCCTTGCTTCAGTCTGCTAGGCTGGATTACAGGCTATTGAAGTGGTACTCAAGAGCGAGATAGATATTTGTTCTCATTCATTCTACTTCGACCACCCTACAGTAGCTACTTGGAGATTCCCCGTAAAATAGATTTCTGCCTTTTCTCTGCTTGAACTATGGCCATAGAAAGGAACTGAAGTGGATGGACCCTATCTTCGGTTTATAGATCGATCTTCTCTCTTCTGTCCTATCTTATATGTCCTATCTTGTATAACCCGACAGGAACAACCTGACTGATTTCAGTACAGAAACTACCGGAGTCACATCTAGCTATCAAAGAAGAAGCTTACAGGCCTTATCCCAATTAAAGGAAGGGAAGGAAGGCAATCTTAGTCCTAAAAGAACGTCAGCTTGCATACCTTTTCTTCCTTATCCATCTTTACCTAAAGGACGATAGGAAGATAGAAGAGATGTTCGCATTAACGTCTCGTCCGTGTCAAAACTACAGGTATGAGTTCCATCTTACTTGGCCCTAGCTTACTACTCACTACTGGGATACTCGCAAAGGAAGGCATAGCTAATAGCAGCTCAGTTCATATTGGCCTGGCCTTATTCAACTACCAGCACTGGAATGGAAGGCTAAAATAGAAGAGGATAGAGGAACGAAGATAAGAACCGTATCGGACGTTACATCTATCTATAGTCCTCTCGTCCGGTAGTATAGTATGATAAAAAAATATAACTACAACTACTGGGAGAGGAACTCAAAAAAAAGCAACTAGAGGCTGAAACCTATAGACGGAGTTAACGAGCTAACCTAACTTCTAGTCTTCCCTAGGTAGTTTGTAGTGGGCATTCCTATCTGACCGAGTTGCTAGTAGGAAGCTAGGCTATTGAACTAACAGAAGATACGATGATATGCGACGATCTTCTTCTTTCTTTTTATCTACACATCGTCCGGTAGTTCCCTTTAGTCTGTTTCTAAGAAGCTAGGACAGCTAAGAATGAGCTCTTTCAAGCCCCGTTTCTAGAAGAGAAAGCCGAAGGTAATAGCTGATTGGCAGTATGTCAGAAGCCGATGCTGTATTGCTGCCTGCTCGAATCAACATCCCTCTACGAGTTACCTCATTCCTGTGGTTGTTCTCTTCTGCTCTGAGAGACCGGTCAGTCTCTGCTCGGTTAACAGGTATGGGAGAGACTCCTGGTAAGGTCCCGTCTTGACATCTCACACTTGTTGGTTCGTTAGGAAGGGAAGGCAAGCTCTCTAAGCAAGCTGTTTTCATGCCTATACTCGCTTTCTTTGTTTGACAGGTTGGGCCCAATTCAAAGAGATCAAGCTTACACTGCACGGATTTGACCTTATTAAGAAAGTTTCCGGGAAGGGGTAGAAGATGCTAGATGTTTCCCTAGGGTCTTGACTAGTTCCTACTTCCTTGCTTCCAGTGTAGAAGGTGTAGCTGGCATACTGGAGTCAATATCTTAGTTCAGTTGTTGCCTCCGGTTGTCATACTGGAATGAGTCAATATCTTAGTATCGTCTGTAATGTGGAAGAAGTAGCTAGATGTCTTCCCTGTGGTTCTCTGCTAGTGGATACTTCTCTCTAGCGGTGTATCGGGTGTTGGCACTTCGGTTGTTGCCAGTCCTGTCATTTCCTAGAATATGTGTTAGTATAGGCTGGAATATGTAAGTATTGTCTAGAAGTTTCCCTGTTGGTCCCTTACTAGTCTGCTCTTCTTTGTTCCAGTGAGTTCTGTCATGAAGTGTAGCTCATGTTAGGATTACCCGGGAAGCGAGCTTGTCGACGACGACGGGTAAGCCGTGTGAGCGGTTAAGGGTTGCTTGTTGCTCAGCTGTCTTTAGTCAATATCTTATGAATGTTCCGGTCCAGGGAATAATGTGAATGTAGCTAGAGTGTTCCTAAGGTGCATACTAGGGCTTCTTCCTCTAGTTACCGTTGTAGCTGAACCAGCACTTGCAGCTGTATATTCCGGGCGAGGAGCGTAAGCGACATGGCATATTTGTGAAAGAATCTCCCTTCTTTTCGTTCGGACTAGCCATGAATAACCAGTTGGTTGCTTCCAGTGGAGGAACCCCTGTTCATGCATGGCGGGGCCCGGGATCCCTTGCTGCTGCGGTAAAAGAGTCTTCCTTCTTCTGGGCGGAATGTGTATGAGTAGGCGTGAAGTAGGCGAAGCAGTCCTCCCGTTGATACGTGGGATAGGAGAAGGGGTCTACCACTTTATATCACTAAGTTCCCCCTCTCCGTCTTGCAGGTATTGTTTCTGGGTTGTGTCTGCTTCCCGCTGTGCAGCTTCCACTTCCTTTCTTTGTTCTCTGGGAATAAGTAGCATGAAGAGTTCATCTGTTGTCCGTAGGTCCCTGGCTGAGTTATCATGTGTAGCTAAGTACGATCTGCGTTCTGCTGTCAGTTAAGAATCTCCTCCTCTCTTTGTTCGGATGGGAACTATTGTATCTGTTGTTAACCCTTGTATCTGGCTACGCCGCCCTTAGAAGCAGAGTAGCCAGTCCAGTAGGTGTAGTTAGTTATCTGTTCAAGTAGGTAGGAGGAACCCAGCTTCTCCTATCTCATAGGAGGAACCCGTAGAATCAATATCTTTTCTTTCTTTCCACAGAAGGTCAGCGGTCATACTCTTCGTACTGTTGTTAGCTGTTCCTGTTCCAGACGAAGTAAGGTAGCCGGCTCAGTCTCTTACTCGGAGAGGAACGCCTACTACTCGACTAATAGGAGAGGAACGCCTACTACTCGACTAATAGGAGAGGAACGCCTACTACTCGACTAATAGGAGAGGAACGCCTTTGACTTCTTTCTCTTTCGAAAAAAAGGAATGTAGTTAGCCTAATCACTGGGATGATGATTGGATCAGTTTAGCTACTCTGTTAAGGTCTACATCAGGAGGTTCAACTAAGCCCGCAGGTATATTTGGCAGGCACCTGAAGCGAGTTGACTCTAGCTAGGAAGTTCTTCTCTGGCCTGTCACCTGAGTTAGAGGCTAGGCTCCGAAGCCTTCAGTTCTTTAGTCTCCCTGAGAGTTGTTAGAGAAGGCAGCATTGGTCGAGAGAGTGTGAGCGAAGCGTAGTAGCGCTGCTATACCGAGAAAAGTAATCAAACCTAAATCTAGGAAATACAGCTGGGTGTGCTCATGTTGGCTAGGTAGCAGGGCCAGACAATCCCTTTACTTTCGTGTGTGCGTACTATTAAGAGTTACGTGTGTGCGTACTATTAAGAGTTAGGAGTATACCAGCACAGAGAGAGGAGTGTGCTTCAGGTAGAGCACAGAGGAGGATAACAGTTAGGAGAGTTAGGAAGGAGTAACCCAGCACTGTGCTAGAGAAAGCAAAGCAGAGGAGTACCGAGAAAAAGCAGCAGTGTGCTGTACAGAGAACAGAGGAAAGGAAAAGAGCACGCAGGAGTGTACTAAAAAGCTGGGCATGTTGGGTAGCAGGTATTTCATTCCCCTTGAGCACACCGATCGAAACCTGTGTACTCTCGAAAGTTGAGCCCTTGAAAACCAGGACTTGAAACTAGCAGATTAGCCGGTAGGCCCTAGTAAAACGGGTATCGAGAAAGGGCCTTTAATCGCTCGCTACAAAAGTTTTCAGGTGTTCCTAACCTTGAACAGAAAGGGTAAGCCTACTTTGACAACTTGAGGGGATTACTCCCACCCTGCTTGACCTAAGTCAATTAGCCAACCTTGGAGATTAGAGCACACCGGTGTGCTTGTGCTGCATCGTGAACTTACTTCTACATTCCTCAGATTACCCAGGAGTGTGCTGGAATGAGAAAGTGAAGTATTCCTTGGGCGAGAAATAGTCAACTCTTGCTTTGCTTGGGTAGGGCTTTGCAACACACCGATATCCCTTTCTTTCTAGGGTGTATGGTTCCTAGACCTGTACACGTGTAATTAGAAGGCCAACTTTTCCTTGACGAATCTATGCTCTGTAATGGTCTGACCTGAGGAATTGTGCTATCGATGGATGAAAGGCCCTAGTTTTTGCTAACACGGATGTGCTGAACAGAAGGCCCTAGTTTGTTCCTAACACTGGTGTGCTGAACTCAAGACCCTTTGTTTGTTGCTAAAGAGGCTTAGCTTTATTCCGGTGAAGCTGGTTGGCAATAACATGACTAGCAGTCAGGGCCGAAGGCGCCTTACCTGAATTCCCATGTTTAGATTGGATGAATGGCTGATTGATCGGTAATTCGGGGGTAATGTAAGTAATATGAAAATGAATTGAGTGGTTTTCCTTTGATTGATCTTCTGCTTTGACATTTCTCCTCGACATTTCTCCTGGGATTTGATTGATGGATCCATCGAGGTATGTAATGAATTGAGTTGATTGGCTTTTCAGCACACTCCGACCCTTCCATTGACCAGGAGCAGTACAGGTAATCCGAGGAATGCCTCATCCTATGATAGGTCCTTGGTTGGTTGACTAGCTACTCCTCTGCTTGAAGTCAGCACACTCCTTTTATTTTTCTGAGACCAGCTCCTTGTTTTCGTAACCTGAGGAGTTCTGGTGAGCTAATCTTCTAGATTGGATGACAGTTCCTAGGGCTCACCTGAAGTTGGTTGACTAGAGGAATCCACAATCCTACACGGGTGTGCTACAATTTCCTTGTTCTTCCTGGGTCTGTGCTAGAATGTAGGACTAATACTAATAGGTGTGTGCTGTTGATCACCCGCGTACTTTCTTTGTTCCTAAGGTTCATTCGATACTAGCTACTCCTCTGTGCTGTCCGATGCTTTGCTTGAAGTCAGCACACTCTTCTGCTTTTTCAGCACACTCCTGCTTCTTGTGATCTGAACTTTGTTACTAGCTTCTGATCGAACATGGATTGGCATTACTAGTCAAAGCAGTGTGCTAGGAAGCGGGTCATACCTCCCACCCAATATGCCCATCTTTTTCTTGTTTACCTCTACATTCCCAGGATTAATCCCTGAAAAGTGGTGGGAAATCCTACTACCCTTTCTGTTTCATGGGTATTACCCACCTGAAAAGTTTCCTATCTCTCGATTGGCAGTAAGCAACTTTTGAGGGTTTTTCTAGACCCCACCTAAAATCCGCTAGTTTGCTACTCTCCTGTTTGGGATGAGAAGTCTTAGACCTAGTGAGCTGGCCCCGAACAGTAGACTTCTTTTGGTTTTCCTCGGTATTCCAGGGTAAGGAAATATCCCACGGGTGCCTTGTTCAGCACACTCTTCTTCCGATGCTTTGACTGAAGATTCTTAGTCAGAGCAGGAAAACCAGTAGTCCCGTTGTTGGTAAAGCAACTAACTTCAGATGGTCTGCAAGCCTTCTCTGTGCTATATATCCTTCGTTTTAGCATCCCTTTAGCGCACCGCAGCTCTTGGAAAGCTACTATTGAATTTAGAGTTCTTTCAGAGTAAGTAGTGGTCGGAGCTCAACCTCAGCCTTTCGCTACTTCTACAGCAAAACCAGTAACTGAGTCGACTATAGTAGCATTTGATGCGTCATCTTCCCTCACTCTTGACGATACAGTAGTTGTGGCATCTCCCTTTCTGAGTCTGATTCCGATGCTATCCAGTTGATGGGGAATTGACGGCCCTTTCATTGACAGTAGTTCATTCGAAGGGGGAATGCTTGTAGTTAGAAGAAGAGCTGATGCAACTCTCTTAGAGACTGACCTAGGAACCTCATTGACTGATGTCAAGGTTTCTGCCTCAGCAACAGCTACTAGAGAAAGAACAGCAACTTTTGTTTACTGATCAACAGACTGGTACAGGTGTTGGAAGAACTAGAGCGTATGATGCTATTGAATTCACTTCCGACCGCCTTCAACTAGTAGAGAAAGTCTTTCGTTTAGAGCCGATACCGCTCAACCCTCCTTTTCACCTTCCCTTCAGCAGCACACCACTGCCCCCTTTAAAGGCTCAGTCGAGTGACTTCGTTCCCCCCGTTCAAGCATGCGATTTGTTTGCTAGGTTAGACGGTAAAGTGTGGTGGAAGGAAGGGTCTAGGGAGTTCCAGATGTGCAGCACACCCCTAGCGAAGCAAGCCCTCGTCCTATCACCGTTCTTGGGGGCCCAAGACGGGAGAAGGTAGTCGCCTGTAAGGAGAACGAATTTGTCCAATCCACCGAATACTGTCCTTTCCTTCTTTTACCAATTTTCTCGTCGAGTTGCTGATACGTTTGTTGAACAGCAACAGCCTACATAGCCCGTCTCCCTCTTTTCAAGGAAGAAAGCATCAGACAAATATGTAGTTCTAGGTCCTTTTGTCCAGTTCCTGAAAGCACCATCGTGGTTTATTCACTCAGGTTTGCTAAGTAGTCTGGGAGCCGACTCTCATTTTATTTGGGCTCAATCGACATCGAAAAGTGAGCAGCCTTGGACCCTTTATTCTTATTTCTTACTTTCCTCCTCTGGCCCCTCATCCTCAATTAAGAGGACGAGACCTATAAGTATTAGGAGCAGGCTGAGCCCGCGGATCCACTCAGAGAGATAAAGGCGCCCGAGCCCCGGTAAGCTGTTTAAAAAGCTTAAAAGGGAGCCAAAAAGGATGGGGGTGAGGAGAAAGACTACTCTTATTGCATGCCTGCGTAGAAGAGTAAGAAAGAAACTTCCGTTTAATCATTGGCGGAAAGATCCTGTTTAGCAAACCCAGGTTGATAAACCTTGGGAATCTTACCAGCCAACCCTGGTCTTACCAGCCAACCCTCTACTGACGCTGGTGTGCTAAGGAAGGGGCTAGAAGCGAAAAAGAAAGAAGTCATGAACCCCACCCCTAGCGCAGCAATTTCAGGCTCTCATGAAGCCTTAGGGCGAAAGCATTCCTCTCATTCGCTTACTTCCTAAAAGGAGACTGAGGCGCATGTAAATAGTAGAGAATTAGGTATAGGAAGGATCTAGCAATAAAATCACCAAACTATTAACATTTCCAATACCCATACCATCAACTCAAAGCTAAAACTATCCATTCATTACATACTTCGACAGATCAATCAAAGCTCCTCATTACTGTAAGTCAAGGTCTTCTGTTTTTTGTGAATTCAATCGCATTTCCTTCGAGATATCAGAAGCTTCAAGGGAAACGGGATTTGTTAACAGAAGAATGACCATAGAAAGAGGATAGTACGTATCCGCCACGTGAGAAATCCCTAATCTAGAAGTACTCTAAGCTTTCACAGTCTCATGTCAAGCTTCCTTTGAAGATCACAACCCTACGAGTGATGCAGCACTGTGCTATCGATAGATTAAAGGCAGAATTCAGCCATCTGATAATGGTTTGTAAAACCCTACTTTTGCCAATCCCAAGAAACCCTCGGAAGAAGAGAAGCGCTTTGTCACGTCAAGAAGTGTCCTACCTAAAAGGCTAAGAGAACAGGCTATCAGGTACTCCTGTGTACTGGAATGTACAAGTCAGGCTAGTATCTATGTTTCGCTAATCTTCTAGATTGGATAGCAGTTAGGTTTACGCTTTTCTCGGTTAATCTTCTAGTGTGCTATCAAGCAGGACGGTGCTTTGCCCAAAGCAGAGGACAAGACCAAAGTTTCTTTCTTTATCTTATACGTACACGTGGTGTGCTAAAGAAGGCTGGAATGCCACCACGCTCGAATCTTGCTTTCGAGCGTGGAAGCAAGATGCCCCCCCTACCTATTGGCAGAAGGGGTGGTCAGCCCCCCTCCCCCTCTGCTTTTCGTCTCCTTGATAGCTGGAAGTTCTCCAAAAGTATGAAAAGCAGGAGGACTTTGTACCATCCATTCCAGTGTAGTTGAATTCAGTTCAAGAGCCCAAGGACTCGAAGCACATCTTTTGTTATTTCCACTGCTTAAAGTGATTGTTACGACCACGAAGAAACAACAAATCCCAACTACGGATATATAAGAGCCAAAACTGGAAAGGGCATTCCATCCAGCGTAAGCATCCGGATAATCTGGAATACGACGTGGCATACCTGAAAGCCCTAAGAAATGCATAGGAAAGAAGGTCAAATTAACCCCGAAAAAAGTGATCCAAAAATGGATTTGACCTAAAGTTTCAGGGTATGTCCGACCAAAGATTTTACCCACCCAATAGTAAAATCCTGCAAATAAAGCAAAAACGGCTCCCATAGAAAGTACATAATGGAAATGTGCAACCACATAATAAGTATCATGTAGAGCAATGTCTAGCCCTGAATTTGCCAGGACTATTCCAGTGAGTCCTCCTATGGTGAACAAAAAGATGAATCCTACAGCAAATAACATGGGTGTTTTGTATTGTATCGAACCCCCCCACATGGTAGCGATCCAACTAAAGATTTTGATTCCAGTGGGGACAGCTATGATCATGGTAGCTGCGGTGAAGTAGGCACGGGTATCTACGTCTAAGCCCACAGTAAACATATGATGAGCCCAAACAAGAAATCCTAAGACACCAATACTGATCATGGCATAAACCATGCCTAGATACCCGAAGACCGGTTTTCCCGAAAAAGTCGAAACGATATGACTTATGATACCGAATCCAGGCAGAATGAGAATATACACCTCTGGATGACCGAAGAACCAAAAGAGATGCTGGTATAAAATTGGGTCTCCCCCTCCAGCGGGATCAAAAAAGGTTGTATTAAAGTTTCGATCGGTTAATAACATGGTAATTGCCCCTGCCAGTACCGGGAGTGATAATAAAAGTAGGAATGCTGTCACTAGAACGGACCACACAAATAGGGGTAATCTATGCATAGTCATTCCAGGTCCACGCATGTTGAAGATAGTTGTTATAAAATTGATAGAACCTAAAATGGATGAAACACCAGATAGATGAAGACTAAAAATTGCTAAATCAACTGCTCCTCCAGAATGACTGGTAATACCACTTAAGGGCGGATAGACCGTCCACCCAGTGCCGCTACCTACTTCTACTAAGGCTGAGCTTAATAGGAGCAAGAGACTTGGTGGCAACAACCAGAATGAAATATTATTTAATCGTGGAAATGCCATGTCAGGTGCACCTATCAGAATCGGAACAAACCAATTACCAAATCCACCTATCATCGCCGGCATAACCATAAAAAAGATCATTAAAAAAGCATGAGCTGTTATTAAAACATTATAAAGTTGATGATTCCCACCAAGAATTTGATCGCCGGGTCGTGCTAATTCCATACGAATCAGTACTGAGAAGCATGTGCCCATCACTCCAGCAATGGCACCGAAAATGAAATAGAGAGTCCCTATATCCTTGTGGTTTGTGGAGAACAGCCATCGAACCAGATTTTTCATAAATTTGAGATTCTTTCGTTTATTACCTTATCAGAGAGGGGTTAGGTATTTAGTAACTCTCGCGCTTTCCTGGAACGGGTTCCATAGTCTACGAGTTCTTGAGAGTCCCGTGGAACGGTCAAATTTTTGCTAGTAAACTAGCTCAAGCAGGAAATTCCAACCTAGCTGATGGTTTTGCTAGGAACGCTAGCTCATGGCAGGAAATCATACCTTGCCTGATTCTCCTGCGTAGGAGAGCCCAGGCCTACCATTGGATTCGAACCAATCAGCATCGTCCTACAAAAGATAATGCTCTCACCAATTAGAGAAGTAGGAAAATACAACAAACACATTTCGACAGAACAGAATTATTATTATATAATTGAATAAATTCTCAGGAAAAGAGAAACAGTGGTGCAAACTCTACTACAATAGGGTTTCACAGATCAAAACTTTCTTCCTCGAATTGAAGTTTTGGGAGCTACATTCTATATTAAGACAACCCAGAAGCCCTAGGACTATACTCCAACAAGATCACGGAACGGACGTTACGACCACTCAACAAAGTCTCGACAATACACCCAAATAATCACAACTTTTTTCTTCGCTACCTTTAGTATTCGGATAAACACTCGGACAGTATTGACAAATCGCGTGTGTTAAGCAAATCACAAGACTTCTCTTTTCTTTGCCTCATTTGAAACTTCTTTATTAAACCTGACTTCAGTCTATCATTTTAAGAAAAGGAAGACTCTTATTAAACCTGAGGGAAAGTCTAGAGTTATGACAGAGGCCACATTTCATACACTTTAGGCAGGTGAAACACTTCAAACAGGAAACACTCACAGAGGAACAGGAAACAGCTCACCTTACAGAGTTACGCACAACAGAGAGGCAGCGCGGGGCAGTCAAGGAACACATTCGGCTTTCACATACAATTACTTTACTTACCTTACCCTACAGTCTTAGCGAACCTTACAGATCCTTTTACAAACCTGGAAGCGGGGGAATACCTATCAACGGGGGGACCCATCCGACTCTTCTATATATATGCCCGGGGGACACAAAGAACTTCTTTCGGGATCCCAGTGCGAGTCACATCAATCAGCTTTCTAACAACCACTCGTACTATTTTCACACAAAAGATCCGCCATTGATCACTTTTCGGTCACAATACAGACATTTAGCAACAGGGGAGATTAGAGACTATCGAAGTGAGCCCGACCTAGGCTGAAACCAGCAGCTACAACCAAGTCAGCTGAAAGCAGTAGCTATATCTAAGCTCGGCTGAAAACAGTGACACTTCAAAAGCTAGCGTTCCCAGTTCCGATACAAGACAACCAAGGAGGTTCAGAATTTAGACTATCGAAAGGACCTTTAGCCGCTCATACGTAACGCCTCCTCGGTTACGCCTTCCCTCGCACGGGGCGCCACTACTGAGCTACAAACAAGCTCGGCAGAAGCAGGACTAAGTACGGCTGAAAGCAGGTATAAGACTTTAGACGGAGGAGCCCAAGCTAGGCTGAAGGCAGACCAAGCGGAGGCTGAAGGCATACATTCACTCAGAGCTATACGCGTTACGGCAGCTGCTACCTTCCTTCAAAGGAGATACCAAATAGAGGCTGAAAACAACCAAGTAGGCTGAACAGAACAATCTAGGCAGAAGCAGCAGACCGGGAGTAGATCCTTAGCTCTTTGCCCGGGGGCCCCATAGAACTTCTTGAGCGGAAACTCGGAACGGGGCGGATCTACAGACCCTCTTTCACGGTGACAGTCCAAGTACCATCAGACGGGGGTGCAAGTACTCACATTATCACGCGGGGCAGAGGGACCATCTCATCCAGTCAATACGGGTCCACCACTTCATCCTCCCCAGCCATCGGGTCAGCCATGCCAAACAGCTAGGACATCTCAGGACCGGTCAACCAGGAGATCCATCGCCAACAGGGGCTCCAGTACAAACAGTAGGGAGGCGGATAGACCATTTGTCAGTTCCAATAGCCAATCAGTCAGGCTATTTAGCAGTCGGGACATCCGGAACATTCTACTAAAAACCATACGATACAGATTTTGATCTATTTAAAACATTGGCATCATCCGGGAGTGGGAGTGGTATACCTCAGACTTTGAGGACCTGAAAGCAGCAGAACTAGATTTGGTGGACCTTCGTAGCGGAAGAATAAGACTTTCTTGACCTTCGAAGCAACAGTTTTACCTGACATCCCAGTGGCAGCATTCTTTGACTTGGAGGCCCTAAGCGATCGTCCTACCTCGAAAGGAGTGGCAGCAGCGGCAGGAATACCCAAGTCATAGTCTTTTTCGGGAGAGGGCTCGGCATAGTCTTTATGCGACAGTACCAGCATGCCATAGTCTTTTATGCGACAGTAACAGCGTCATAGTCTTTATGCGGCTTCAGCAGCACCCGGTTAGGACTTCAACCACAGAAGACAAGTCTTTGCCTTCACGTCAGAAACAACAACGCATTGAACTTCGACCGCTTGACTTCCAACAGAAGTGGATGATTCTTTCGCCTTTCTTCGTTGACCTGACACGACATTCAAAATGGAGAGTCCCAATAGTCCAGAGGTAGCAGCACGATCAGGGAACCAAAATGGCTGTCTCGCGCTTCGAAGCCACAGCATTTAGAGGGCCCTTGGCACATCTTGCAATGACAACACGTCTCACCACCCAAACTTGGTTTTCGACGGCGAATCAGCAATGTGTGTCAAGCAACCAATTCTGCTCCTAGGCCAGTTCTGATCTTAGGAATTCCCTGATCCAGAATATCTGAGCCGGAAGGTGGCGTTCAAAGACTTAAACGAGTAGTGGGCCAAAGGGCTCTATAATGATAGTTCGCCCTCAGCTTTTGTCCAGGATTGGCATTCTCAAAGGAGAAAGATCTGATCAGGGAAGGATTGATCGATCAAGATCAGGAAGAGGAGAACGAGGAACAATTAACGAAAGAAGGGGAAAGGGCTAAAGCATCTGCTTCCACTTCCGCTGCAGAAGAAGTTGGGGGAGGTTACAAAGCCCTTATTTCAACAGACTGTTAACCACTTTAATGCCTTTATCCGGCTTTGCAACAAAGTGATCTTCGATCGCACTAAGGCGCATAAGACAGTACACTTCACCGATTCACCAAGTAACCCTACGGAATTGATGTTGTGACACTTGAAACGCATGAAAGGAATCTAGGAACAAAACAAAGAATTGCACCCCTTGCATTTGAATGCCGGTATACTGCTCCGCCACTCAGGGCACACTACCAAAGGACTGTAAATCCTCATCATTGGGCAATTCAAGACGCAAGTGGTGTGTATCATCTCTAGCCTCCCTCGGTGATGTTTCATATGGGTCACTAGAATCTCCATCTGGGGCCGAAGAACGTACGATCAAAGACTTCTGAAGCGTCGTCTAAAGGCTCCGATCTAATAAGTTACGTGCGTGATGTCGATGAGATGTCGGCAGGAGATGTCGGCAAAGAAGAGGAAGGCGCGCAGAAGGTAGGTAATAGATCTCATACCGAACGTGACCGAGTCCACCCAACCGTACACGATCCTTGAGTCAAGTATGCGAATGAAAAAGAAGGAGTAATTCGAGCAGGAAGAAGAAAGGCTGACGCTGCAGCTTCAACTTTCGCTGCAAAAGACAGGGATGGGGGAGTTGAAAAGCCATTCTTATAACGGATTACTGTACCTTATATACCTTTATTGGCTTTTCAACTAAAGTGCTCCGCTCAATAGGGCTCATCAGGAATCCGAACCTTCATGAAGTTCAGCTAGTCACCCGAGAAGAATCGAAGCTGTGACACTTTAAACCTTCGATCAGATGCTTAGGCCAGTCAGGTCAGGACCTTACGTCTGATTGCCTTTACACTGCGTCGCCCGTAGGGCATACTCCCAAGAGACTCCCAGACGGTTAGGGAACACTCCCATGTCACGCATTCAACACACATGTGTTAATTGATCCTCTCGATCCAACACAAACTCTGAAATAGGAACTTAGAGAACAATAGTATTCTCAAACAACAGTAGCAATAGGGTTACCAGTCCCTTCTCCTGAAAGAACTAAAAGGCCAAAGAAAGCTCTCCTTTGATAAGTAGTTCCAAAACCCTCAAAAGGAGAGGGAAATAACGAAGAAATTGAAGATTGAAGGGAGGAGGCTGGCGCAACAACTTCAGTTTTAGCTTCAGAAGATGGGGGAGTTTCAAAGCCATTATTACAACAGACTACTTTCCCTTTCATATCTTTATGCGGCTTCTCAACTAAAGGGCTCCGCTCCACTACCACTCATAAGGTTCCGCCACTACAATAGGGCCCAGTCATAAGAGAAATCGAGAGCTTTATCCTGGCTCAGGCAAACGGAACTACCTTAGGTCTCGCTGGGAACCCAGCTCAGGAACCTAAACCACAGTGCTTTCTTAAGGAGTTGCCGAGTCCTACCTCGCTATCAAAGATACTAACTGAGGAACTCACCTATGACCCAAGGGAAGAGCCTAGAAGAAGGTTTCTCACGTTGATCGTCACCCCTGGGTCTAAGAGACCCCCAAGCTGTCTCACCGGGATCGAATCGGGCTCACCTCGGATCAGGAACAGCTACAATATACGCCGCTTAAACAAGCAGATTAAAGGAAAGAGACCCATCTATCTAAGGCTAAAAGAAGGGAAAGAAGCCGTAGCTAGTCGTAGAAGTCAGTGAAGGGGAACAAGCAAGCCGAACCGTAGGCGAGCAAAGCTTTCATTCAACAGCAGAGGAAGACGTAGAAAGACCAGCAAAAAGAATGAACACGTGCCAAGAACCCATTCCATTCACGGACGCGGGGAAGGAGGAAAGTCAAGGCACAAGTTTCTCTATTAAGAACCAAGGCCCTACTGAGCTACATTTACTCTTTACACCAAGAACAGCTCAGATATGCGACCCCGGGGACTGGGCTTTGGTCTTCGACCGACGGCTCCTTTTTCGGCATATGAAGCAACAATAAATAAAAGAGAACTACAGATGAACGAAGGGAAGAGGTAGATCATACAGTTCAAACTCAAACAACAAAGACATTCTAACAGTTGCCTCGCTTTCATCCTTATAAGTGGACAGACTCATCCGCATTCTCCGCTTTGAACAGAGTTTGCTTCTTCGTTCGCCTTCCCTCACACTACTGAGCTACAACCAAGCTCGGCAGAAGCAGGACAGAGATTTAAGAACCGTGAAGTGAGCCCAAACAAGGCAGAAACAGCAGCTGCAACCAAATAGGCTGAAAACAGTGCGGCAGCACTAGCCGTCCCAGTAACAGCAGCAGTACGAGCATTCCTTAGCCGCTTCAGGAGGGTCAAACGACCGGACTACGTCCTATCCTCAGGTGAATACTTTGACTTCAGTTGGATACTTTGATAGTTCACTACTACGATAGGGGAATACTAGGCTAGGGAACTACTTGGGAACTACTTGGGAAGTCATCTCTTTACTTAACGAACTAACCACTCAGGGATTCAAATCCACGATACTCCTACCATCTGCTTGATCCAGTTGAAAACTTTACTCCGACTTCACATCAGCCCTTAGGGTCAACACAGCTCCTCTTATCCTTTACTCTTTCTATGCCTGGATTCCTATGCCTGTTTTACCTCGAGTTGGAATTCAGTGGGAGAAATTCCAACAAAATTCAGTGGTAGAAATTCTCCAGAAAACGAAAACGGCGATTCCAACTCTACAATCAAGGCAGAACGCAGGGAGGAGAAGAGAATAGATTATAGACGGCGGACCGGACCCAAGCTAGGCTGAAGGCAGGACTCTATTAAGTACGGCTAAAGGCAGACTCTATTAAGTACGACTGAAGGCAAACCAAGTAAGTGCGGTTTCAAACAAAGGTGAAGGAAAGGTACGATCGGTGGACAAGGAATCGGTTGAGATCGAAACCATATTCGTAGGACGCGTACCCAATAGCGTTTCCAGGGGCCTCATCCCGGGGGCAAGCCGGGGCATCAGTACGCGCTAGGCCTATCACTCGGAGCCCGGGCGATCTACTCCTACTCTTTATTTAGAGGCGGGAAATCTTACTCTTCTTGAGCGGGGGATAGACCAATCTTCTTCAGCGGGAAATCCAATCCATACCTTGGGGGAAATACATAGCTTGGTAGACAATCCATAGCTTGGTATCCAATCACTCTACTTCAAGTGGGCTAACTCACTCATCTTTTGGGATTGGTCTTTCTTCAATGTATAAGTGGAGTAAGGTCTTTTTCCCCACCGAAAGAAAAGAAGGTTTCCATTCCCATTCCAGTAGTAAGAAAAGATCAGAGGCACCGTTGCCTACTTCGCGGGATCGCCTTAAAGGACTTGTGATCCACTCTCGGCTAAGTTTCTATGGTCGGTCCTCTCTCGATTAATAGCTAACTGGAAAGAGAATCCTCTTTTATACTTAATTATCGATCAAGAGGGAAGTTCCTAACGTGTTCTTAGGAACGAAGGTCTGTCGAAGGCGGGCGAACGTGTCTTTCTATGGTACGCTCGGTACGCCTTGTTTCTATTGTTCTCCGATAGCTCTATCAGTGATTATTTCAAGTAGTGCTTTTTGTCTGTTACCGGATATGTATAGAAGTTTCCTTATGGTGTTCCTCTCCGGTGTTGCTGAATACACGTCACCGGTTCGACTCCTATTTATATTTAGTGGTCCATTTATTGATTGATGGGCGAATGGAGCTCGGGATGCTGAAAATGTAAAGGCCAAGGCCTCTCTCGGTTGTTGCTTTACCTGTCCTATTAGACTAGCTAGGCCCTCCTTCGGTATGTCTTGTTCCTTGGCTTCTCCTTGTTGGAATTCATGGTTGATTGTAACCTAAGGGTTGTTATATCACTGTCCTTCTGTGGGGGAGAAAGAGGGGGTGTTGCTAGCTCGGTAGGCGCACAGGCGCGGGTTCCGGTTGAAGAGTCAAATTCTCCTTCTTGTTTTTATTGTGAGAATCTTTCTCTATACTCTATATAAGATGCCATCTGTTTTCTTTACTCGTTTCCTCCTTAGCTTTGAATCTATCTGTGACTGTTCTCCTTCTTCTCTAAGGTCTGTTCCTTTGTTCCTTCTTTGTGCCTTCATTTGCTTTCTTTTGTTTGACTGTTAACTTAAGTATCTACCTTCTTCCTTTGGTTTCTTGTAGTTCTATCAGTTAGTTCTTCAATGGTTAGCTCTGCCTGAGCTGGAGTTGTCCCTCCAGCGAGAGTTGCTTTCTTCCTTGCTTGATCGGTAGGAGTTGCCGAGATAGCAGGTATTAGCTGTTAGCCGTCGGACTCATTTAAAGGAGTCCTATCGGGCTACACTAGTCTAAGGGCAGTTGAGTAACCGATTCCTACGCTTCCTCCGCTTACCTCCGTCGCTTAACTATTAATACGTCGCTTACCCGCCTCCGCTTACCCGCCTCCGTCGCTTGTTATCTGCTTCCCTTAGCTAAAACGTTAGGCGCTAGTGAAAGCCTTCACTCTCTTATATTTACGTACACGTGGGAAGAAGACCTAGTAATTGAGTGACAGCATTCCTGGACCAATTCTATAAACAGCCAATCAGGCATATCATGGTACAGGTGAAAGAAACTTATCCAATACAGATCTTATCACCTGCCCATCAACGCTCAACCGTCTGCTCCTCTCGTGCGTGTAGGAATAATCAAAAGAGGAGACAGCATGCCTATTATTAAGAACCCAATTCTACTAAAAACGATAACAACGATTCGAGGTTCTCAATCAAGGCAGAAAGCAAGAAACCCATCCAGCTAGGAGGA